CTGCTTTCCAAACTGATTAATGGTTAGAATATATTTTTTTCCAAATGTGTAGGAGAATCATATGACCTTAGAAACATATGACTTTCAGGGCAGCAATTTCTCAGCCTTTTCTGAAAAGCAGAGATGAGACCAACCCGTCTCTTGTTTTGACCAGCACGGGTTGCCCAAGGTGATGGAGCTGCTTTTGAAAGGTGAGCCCATTAACGTGGGCTGGCAGGTTAAGCCTATGTTCTGGACCGAGAGATGTGAGCGTACGAGGACACACCGATTTCTACAGCTTCTTGCCCCCAGCGGGGGCCTGGCCGTATGGAAATGGTGCCTCAGCCCTCTCCAAAGCCGAGCTGGGGCCCTCTGCTCGGGGACCTTTCCCCCCGACCCCACCAGCGGCTGCTGGGGGCCTCCTGCTGCAGCAGGCCCGGGGACGATCGCACTGGTGCCGCTGCGTGGCGACAGCTTGCCCTTGCACAAGCCGCTGCCGGGCTCCAGGTCTCAGTTTTTCCAGCTGCGAAATGGGACGAAAAACCTCTTGCTGCCACGGGGCGCATCGCGCCTCGGAGCCGAGAGTTGCTACAGCTACCCCAACGCCCTGAACAGGCTCCAGGGCGAAAAGCGACTAAAAAGCAGGGACCGGTGCCACCGAAGGGACAGGGACGGGGCTGGAGATGTCCTTCAGCGGCAGAGCTTGGCTCCGAGCCTCCCAGACACCACCTCCCTCTTACAAGGGAAACTCATCATGGCTTTGAATGCAGGGCTTGGAAAGGGAATAAATCTTCAAGATCTGAGGGATTGAAGTCTGCACATTAGCTCCCCTTAAACCCTGAGTGCATTTAACATGGGAGGTTGGAAACCACAGCCAAAGAAATCTCTTTTGATTCACAACTTGTTTTGAGCAGTCACCCATAAAGCAGCCAGTGAATCACTCCCGCCGGTTAGTCATGCAACCACACTGGATGTACACTCAAAGGGAGCACAAAATAAACAGCCTGCAGCTCCAGATAACACACACACAGCTCATTTGCGCTATCTGGCATCAGCATATATTGTTAATAGCACTCCTACATCAAACCCTTAGGAAAAGACGCACTCAGTAAGCATCTCCAAATCTCTCTCCCCATCGGTATTTTCCCCGTCTGCTTCGCGCCGCGTTGCTTTCAAAACAATTCGGACTAGTAAAAGTTTAAGACTTTTTTTTTTTTCTTTTTTCCCTGTTTCTCTCTCTCTCTGCACCCTTCTCGTTGCTGGTAACGTCCTGCCGGAGCCGCAGCGTGCGATGCAAGGCTCCGGCGGAGTTAATCCCAGTCGGCAGCGGGCAAGTGGCAAATAAACAGCTCTGGTGCGAAAAGAGATCGTCGGCGAGGAGCGAGCGGCGCAAGCACAGGGGGAGGGAGGGAGGCTCCCGGTCCTTTGACACATGAGTGTTATAAACAGCTCGGGTCGGGAATCCTATAAAAGTCTCCAGCCAGCTCTACCGTCCGAGCCAAGGGAAGGGCAAGGCATCTTTGGGAAGAGCCGCGAGAGAGTCCTCCTGCGCAGGCAGGGCAGCGAGCGGGAGCCCTACCTTGGCGTCCTGCTGCCGAGGAAATCCCGCAGCTCTCCGCGGAGGAGATCCCGCACCTCCGAGCGCCGGGGCGAACAGAGCCCGAGCCAAACTCCTGGCGAGAGCTCCCTCCCCTCCCTGGGAGGGTGCCGGCGCCCTTGAATGGCAGATCTGGTGGCCCTATTGAGGGAAGGAGCGGCCGACTGCGGGCGCGGCGTCAGCGGTGCGGGGCACGGGCGGCCGAGGCGGCCCCGCTCCCCTCCAGCTCGCCCCCAGCCCTCGCCCCTTAACCCCGGGGGGGTCTGGTCTGGTCTGGTCTGATCCCGTGCCGTGCCGTGCCCCCTTCCCCGGAGGCTCGCTTTTATACCTGCCCGCTGCTCCCCGCGGGGATGGGGGCAGCACCTCCCCACCCCTTCCCCGGCCCCCCCCGGGCCGAGGGCACCCGCTCTCTCCCCTCCCGCCTCCCTTCGTCGGCGGGGAAGGAGGCCGGCAGGGAGCCGGGAGCCCACGGCAGAGCTGCGGGATCCCCCCGCCCCAAAATCCCTCCGAGCCTCCCGGTCCCCCCCGCACCGGGGAGGGTGGATGCCCAGGGGGGGTCCGCAGCGCTGCCGGGGGCTCGGCATCGGCCCTGCCTGGGACCGAGCCCCCCCGGAGCAGGACGAGCTCCGAAAACCCCAAAGGGCTCCGAAAACCGGCGGGGGCCCTGCGAGCCCCAGCCCCGGCAGCCAGCCGTGTCCCCCGGGAGGCGGGGGGGCCGCCAGCAGGCTCGTCCTGCCGCGCCTGCAGTTTACATTACATTAGGAGGAGGAGGAGGAAGAGAAATGCGTTAAAAGTGTCATTAAAAAAATAAATTAAAAAAAAAAAAGAAAGAAAGAAAAAAAAAAATCCAGCAGCGAACCTCCGATTCCTACGGCCGTCGCTTTCCGCGCTTCTGCTAACAGCGCGCTTCAGCCTGCGCTTTTGGTTTGCTCTCTAAATAAAAGACACGGTCGTTATTTGCATAACACGGCGCTCCGAGAATTTCCTCCGCAAGAAAAAGCCCCTTTTTCCTTTCTCCTGCCTCCCTCGAGCAAACATCCCCAGCGCATTCGCGGTCTCCCCCAAGCTTTCCCCCTCTCCTAAGCCAGGATATGTAACCTGCTCCGAGCGGGGTTATTTAAGATTTCGGCTTTAATTGCGGGACGAGCCTTGGCCCGCTGGTTACAGGCAAGACGAGGGGAGCCGAGCTGGCAGCGGGACCCCTCCCGAGCCCCCCGGGGGGCTGCGGGGAGCCAGCCCCCGAGCTGGGGCCGCTGCAGCCGGGCCGGGAGCGCCTCGGCGAGTGCCGCTGGTTTTTGGCCGGGTATTTACGAGCGCAGCTCTCCCCTGCCTGTATTTCCCCGTACAGTGCAACGGAAGGGGTCTAGGAATAGAAGCCGGCAGCAATAGATGGCAGGCATGGGCTTTTTATAACTCGCAACGACTTGTTTATTAAAGAGTTAAAATTAAAAACCCAAAACCCCTCCGGCCGGCTGCGGAGACGCGCACGGGCAAAGCGCCCCCAGCAAAATAAGGGGCGCAGCACAGCAAGGAAGCGGGCTGCTGGGGCACAGCCCGGCGGGAGAGGCTTCGCCGTGCTCGCCCTCGTGTGCTTCTCTTTAATTTTTTAATTTTTTTATTTTTTTATTTTTTTTTTTGGTGCGTGCGATTGAAATCGCAGGGCAAAACCGGGCACAGCATCCCACCGCGTCCTGGGGGGAGCCGGAGCAGCCGCCGGCCTCCCGAGAGAGATCGCCCCTCGTTTGCCCCGGTGGAAGGGGATCGGGGCTGAAGGGATCGGGGCTGAAGGGATCGGGGCTGCTGCTGCCCCCGCCTCAGCGCCGCCCGGCCCCGGCTGCGAGGAGGCGGAGAGGCGCCTGCGGGTGTCCCCGCCGCAGTCACCCTGCGAAAGCCCAATGTGGCTGTTATTAGCGAGACTCGCTCTTTAATCGTTAGCCCTTATTATTATTATTGCTATTAATTATCCTCGCGGATCCATGTGGCTCTTATTACAGCCCCAGCGGCCCCTAGCCACATCACACGGGGCTCGCAAACGTGCTGGGGCTCCGGGCCGGGCCATCGGCTGCCGATGCGGGGCTCCCACTCGAGGTCCAGCCCGGAGCCCCCCCTTGAAAATAACCCGGGGGGGACCCCCGGCGGCGTTACGGCCGCTGAGAGATTCGGGTGGCTCTACCCGGGGCTGTACCGTGTCGTCGCGGGCTAAGCCGGTGCCCTGGGTTTTTTAACCTACGAAGACAAGAGAGCCGGTTAGCAGAGCGGGGACGGCACCGGGGCCTCCCCCCGCATCGCCCCGCAGCCCCCGGAGGCTCCGCGGGTGCGGGGGGGCTTCGGCTGCGCACAGGGGCAGCGATGGAGGGATGGGGATGGGGAGCTGGGGAGGGGGGAAGGCTCCTCTGCCTGCTTCCCAGTCTAAAAGGGGGAAAGGGAATGTGCGGGGGAGAAAGAGAAAGTAAAGAGGGCACTACGAGGAGTGCGGGGATACCCCAAAAGACGGCGAGAGACCGGGATGTGAGCGGTGAGACGGCCGGGCCTCTCCCGGCGGCTCCTGGCCCTTGTCCCTTGTCCCTGTCCCTGCCCGGGGTCACGGCGGCCCCGGCAGCGCACTGAGCTCGGGCCGGAGCAGCCCCGATTTCCCCGCATCGTGGGGGAAAGGAGGAGACGTTGTTTCCACTTTCCCTTCCAAAAAAAATAATAAATAAGTATATATAATTGTTTTATCTTCCTGTTCTTTTTTTTTCTTTATTTTATTTTATTTTATTTTATTTTATTTTTGCCTTTTTCCCCGAATCGCCCAGGTTTAGCAGCAGCTTCCCCCCCGCGCCCTGCCTTTTATATAACCGCACGCCGGGGAAGGCGAAGAGGAGAAGCGGGCCCGGCCGGGCACACGGCAGCGTCTTTAATTACCGCTAATGACCCGCCGGGAGGATGCGAGCGGGTTATCTGCAGCGGCCCGGCAGAAATCAATTAGGGGAGTGGCAATTAGGGGAGAAAGTGAGAGGCAGGGAAGCGGAGAGCCGGGGGGACATTCCCCAGCACGGCTCCCGCTGGCACCGCGTCCCCGGAGCGAGCGTTTTTGCGCGGAGCCGCGGCCCTCTCGTCCTTTCCCTTTCCGTCTCTCTCCCCGCTCGCTGCGGGTGTCCCCAAACCGGGGACACTCCCCGGGGCTGGGGATGCATCGGCTCTGCTCGGAAACGACGCTAAAATCCCGGCGAAGCGGGACTAGGGGGGGATCCACCGCTTCCCCCGGGACCTGCGGGCTCCGGAGCACGGCGCAGCCCCTGGAGCCGGGAGGGGGGACCCTGGAGGAGGGAATTTTGGGGGGGGCTCGTGGTGCCGGGCAGCCGTCCCCGGGACCCTTTGCAGCACCGGGAGCCTCTCTCCGGGCTGGTCCCGCTGCTTGCCCCGCCGCACGCCCGCCACTCACCGTAGCAGGGGACCTGCAGAGCTCCGTTGTGGCCGCTGCTCTCCTGCAGCTTGAGGTTGCTCTCCGGGGGGGTCTTGCAGGGGCCTCGCTGCATGTAGAGGTGCTGCTGCTGCTGCTGCTGCTGCTGCGGAGGGTATTTGTTAAAGGAGGCCGGAGCCCCGGCGGAGCTGGGAGCCTGCACGCTGCCATCCAGGGACTGACATTCCTGCTGGCTGTAGCGGCTCCGGCACTTAGCGCTGCTGTCACCAAAGCCTTGTCCTTTGCTGGCCAGGAAAGTAGGGCTGAACTTGTCACTTGCTTGAAATGCCCTAAAAGGCGAGGAGCCTTCTGTGCCCTGGGAGGCTGCGTTGTAGTAGGAATCCATGGCAGCCGGATCACAATAAGAAACACAAGTATCAGCATTCATTCCTAAAATTAAAAGGCCCGAGTGTCCTTAATGCGCTTGGAGGGGCACCAGGAACCTCTTTTTCTCTCTCCCTCTCGCATACACACACACACCCACAGCTGGGCCGGGGAGCTCTAAGAGGATTCAGATGTTCTTGAAAGCTGACCAGATCTCCAAGCCCCCTTAAGATCTCGCACAGTAAAAGGGGGCTTTTTCTTTCCCTCCCTCTCCCTCTCCCTCTCCCTCACACACACACTCACTTGCTCTCCGTCTCTCCCTCCAAACTATCTACAGCCTAAAGAGAGGCTTCTCAGGGCTTCCCCCCCACACATAGAAAAAAAAAAAAAGGAAAAAAAAAAAAAAAAGAGAGAGAGAGAGAGAGAGACCTCTCCCCCAATTAATATGTAGATGATGACAGTGGAGGGGAGGGGGCCCGGGGAGGGTTGTGCGTCTGTGTGTATGGGGGTGTGTGGAAGCAGACAGGGGTGGAGGTCATATCTTTTGCGTTAAAAAAAAAATAAATAAAAAAATAAAATAAAAAGCAGAAAATCGGACACACGACGTGCGCGCAGCACGGGGATGAGCGCGGGGACGCGCGGGGAGAAGCGGGGCCGTGCCCGTGCCCCCCCCTCCCAGGGCCGTCCAGGACCCCCGGCTCCTTGCCCCCTCCCCTGTTCCCCAGGTGTAAAGGAGGGGATCAAAGGGCGGGGGGGCTGCAGGGAGGGATTTTAGCAGGGGCGCCGAGCACACGAAATCGGCCCCGGCTCCTGGGAGCGGCGGAGGTGAACTTGCAAAGGGACGGAGGCTGCAAGGAGCCCTTTTTGGTTTGAAGGGTCAATTGCGACCCAAAAGGGGCTTAAAAATAAATCAATACTCACCTTCCGTCGCCCACCCCCCCCGCCCTCCACCCGCCATTCAACCTGATTTCCCTCCTCCCCCGTTTAACTCCTGCTACCCCTTCCACTCGCTCCTACCCTGCCTTCCTCCCATCCCCACATCTGGTTCCTATTGCTCGCTTACCTTGAAGTTCTCAGTAATAAAGATATTACGCAAACTACATCCACGGTTCTTCGGTCAAAAAAAAAAAATTAAAAAATAAAAATTAAAAAAAAATGAAAAAAAAAAGAAAGAAAGAAAGAAAAAGAAAGGAAAAGAAAGGAAGAGAGGCAAGACGAGGGAAGAAGGCCCTTAACCCCTTGGCGGTGCCGGCTGCGGGCTGGGAGCGCGGGGCTCCCCCCGGCCGGGCCGTGTGTCCTCCCTTCTCCCCCCGGCTTCCCCCCCCCCGGCGCGGAGCAGGGGGGAGCCTGGGGGCTTCCCTCTATTTGTACGGCTTTAGGGGCGCGGGGGGGAGCGGGATGCGGCCGGGGGGAGCGGGGTGCGGCGGGGAGGGGGCGCGGAGCGGGATGGGGGGGTCGTGGCCGCCCCCCAATTTCCCCTGGGGGGTTCTCAGCGGTCGGGGGCACGGAAGGAGCCGCCACGGCTTCGTCGGCTCGGCCTTAGCGCACTTCCCCGGCAAGAGCGGGGGCTCCCCCCGCGCCCCCCCGGTGCAGAAGGATTTCAGGCGAGGTCCCCGCTAAAGCGGCCGGCGGTGGATCCATTTCCTAGGTTTCAAACCATTTGCAAGCCTCCCTCCGAGCAGTGCGGCACGCTGGGCTCCTTCGGGTTTCTGGTCCAAGAAAGCTTTCAGCGGATTTTCCTTCCTTACTCTCTTTATTACCTGCCTAATTCTTTCCTCGTTTTTTTTTTTTTTTTTCTTTCTATTTTTTTTTTCAGTTTCTCCCTCTACCCCCGGCTCCCCCCACCGCAGCCCCCTCTCGCTCACCCTCTCTTCCTCTCCACGACTTAATAAAAAGCAAACCCAACGCAAGGCAGGCGAGCTTTTCCCTAAAATCCCGTTCTGGGCGGCCGCCGGGGAGCCCTCAACCAGCTCGCAGCCGGGGGAGCAGCCGGGGCGCTCCCCGGTACCCCGGTGCCCGGAGCCTCAGGGGTGCATCCCGGGCAGCATTTGCCCCAAGGCCGGGGCCGCAGCCCCTCTCCTCACCCCCAAAAAAACCCGTGCCCACGACCGAAACGAGGCGAGGCTGCAGCGTTGCGCTCGGCCTCCCCGGCTTTCCTCTCGGCAAAACGACGCGAAAATAACGGCAACGAAACCAGACCGCGAGGCAGCGATTCCCCGACCGGGCAGGATTTTTTTTTCCCCTTTTCTTTTTTTTTTTTTTTTTTCTTATTTATTTTTTTTTTTCCGGCGGCACCGTGGCTCGCCGAGGCACTCCGGCTTGGCCGAGCCGGAGGAGGGCTGCGGGGTCTGCCGCGGCCCCTCCTTGCGTTAAAAACTGCAACGAAAAGTCGATCAGTTCCCAATCAGGGCTAATCCGCGGCCCCGCGGAAAGGACCGCAATAAACCCCTCTCCCTAATGGCCAATTTGGGGCACTGGAAGCGAGAGGTTAAGTCGGGAATCGTTACCGAGAGAAAGGGTGCTCGCAAATACCTGCCCCTATGGTGGGGGGCGAGGCGGTGGGGGCGGGGGGGCAATAACCGGGGAACCGCTTTCCCCGATGATTTTCCTTTGCCGGGGTTGGGTTTCCCTTGAAGTCCTTTGGTTAGATTTGAGGGGGGCTCCCCCGTTCCCCGTTAGCCGGAGAGAACAGGAAAGCAAAAGGGGAGCCTGCGCTCCCCGCTCCCCGTCGGACGGGGCTGGGCGCCGCCGGTGCCCGTCCCGGGGGGTCCGGCCGCGGGGGTCCCGGTCCCGGGGAGCCCCCCCGGAGGGCAGGGAGGGCTCCCGGAGCCGGGGCCGGGCAGCATCCCTTGCCGCGGGAGCGAGCATCGGCGGAGCGAGGGCAAAAAGGGACACGAAGCGCTCGAAACCCGATCTCAGCATTTTTTTATATATATATTTTTTTTCCTCCGAGTGCCCCCAAATCTGCCCTGCCTCTACAACAAATGCGGCCGAAAAAGTGGCCGAGAAGTGCGTGTTTGTAGGTGTTAAATCTGTACCGAGACCGTTCCCAGGTGCAACCGCTGCCGGTTTGGGAAGGTGTCACCACCCCGAGGGTCCCTTGGTGCGCTGGGGACCTCAGGGGAGAGCCGGCCCCTGGTTTAGGGCAGCAAATCGCTGCCCTAAATGCTGGGGGGGGGGCACATCCGCCTCCTCGGGGTGTCCTCCCCCGGAGACACCCCGGGAGAAGCGGGCAGCCCGGCGGGCTGGCAGCCGAGGAGCCGCTTGGTGTCCGCCGGGCATCGCCGGGAGGGGGGCTCCGGAGCCTCCTGAAAGATCGGGTGGGGGGCAGAGAAAATCCCCGGCCGTGGGCTCGTCCCGGCGGGGAGGGGGGCTGCAGGGCCAGGGGCATCTTTCACACCGCTCCCTCCCGGCTCTCGGGCAGAGCCTCGCTCCTGGAAGCTGTCCCCGGTTTGTTTCCTCACCGGCTTGGTTTGTGTGGTCACTCGTGGGCTCCTTTTGTACCGGGCCGGGGTCTGAAGGCGACCTATTTATAACAGCACTGCTGGGGGGGGGCTGGAGAGGGAGGGAGAAGGTGAAAAAAAGTATTTGTGTTAATCTCCCCCAAGATATTTATTTAGTTTTTCCCCTCCCCAGCAGGACCACGGTTGCATCTTTATTTCGGGAGCGGAGTTTGCCCAGCAACAGCCCCGCTGGTACCTCCTGGCTCCTGCCGCACCCCCGGGGCCGGGGCTTTGCTCTCCTGCCCTCCGCCTCTTTCCTCGGAGCTATGTGTGTGCTCACACACACACACACACACACGTATATATGCATATATGCCATGCCGATGGTTATTAAAGCACGTTCCTGGTGTCACGAAGCAGCTCGCAGAGAAACGGAGCTGACCCGCTGCTCTCCTTCCCAGGGGGAGCAAAGCAGGAGGCTCTGAGTCGGGCCAAGCTGGCCCCTGCCCCTCGTGTGCTGGCGAACCTCATCTCCTCCCTTCTCCAAAGGCCCTCTCTGCCATAAAGCTTGGGGATTTGTTTATTGGGCTTTTTTTCCCCCCTCCTTCTATTTTTTTATTATTTTTTTTTAATTTGCCAGGACGCGTTTTGCTCGCTGCAAGCCGCGGGGGGCGTTCATCCACCCGCGGGATGCCGCGTCCCCTCCTGTCCCCTCCTTCATCCCCGGAAAAACAACGGGGCCGAAAATCGGGGACTTTGGCACCAGATTCCCGGGGGCCCCCCCCGATGACGCCATCAGGAGGCAGCCAATAGGAAAACCGAGCGGGGGCGGCCCCGGAGCCCCCCGCTCTGCGCCCCGCCGGGCTCCGGGCAGGGGGCTCCAGGCAGCCAGGGCGGGGGGCTCGGGGCCGCCGCCTCCCCGGGCCCCTTCCCCGGGCTCGGGGGGATGCTGGGGGCCGGGGGGAAGCCCCCCGGGGCGCGCCTGTCCCTCTCCCCAGCACCGGTGGGGTGTGAGAGGCTGGGGGAGTCCCCTTCGCCCCCCGGCACGAAACAAAGGGGCTGGGGGAGGAGGGGGGCTCCGAGCCGAAGGTATCCTGCGGATTTTGGTGCACCTGCCAGCGGCCCCCCCCCTCCGACCTTCCCAGCCGGGCACAGCCGGGACAGCCCGCGGGGCAGGCGGGGGGGAGCAGCGGGGAGACCCCAGGGGGGTGCCCCTCACCGCCAGGCCGTCGGGTTTCGTTTGTTCCTCTCCTTGCTCGCCCCTCTAGCAGATTATTTCCCTCCCGGGTCGTTCGCAAAAATAAATAAATAAAACGAAAACATCCGCCTTTCTTGCTGTAGTCGCCAAGCATCTCCCGCAAACCACCCCGAAAGCAAACAGGACCAGAGCCCCCCAGACGCAGCAGCTCCCCATCCGCTGCACCGCGCACAAACTTATTATCTTCCCTGCCGTTTGCGCTTTTTTTTTTTTTTTTAAGTATTAATTAATTATTTTTTTTTATCCCTCTCAAAAAAAAAAAAAAAAAAGGTCAGGCGAGGCGTCGCAAAGTCCCTTCCAAAAACTGTCTTGAAAAGAGCGCGGAGCAGCGCCAGGACGCGCAGGAGAAGGAGGGTGTGCGAATAACGCGCCCGGCTCCTTCGCACGGCTTCTCCCGGGACTTCTCGCAGCTCGGCTGCCGCCCCCTCCCCGGCCCCCTCCAGCCCCCTCCGGCTCCCCCCGGCTCTCCCCAGCCCCCTCCGGTCCCCCCCGGTCCCCCCGGCCCCGCAGCTGCGGGCTGCCCGGCCGCCTGAGCGCCCCGCCGGGCTCCGCCGGGCACTGCCACCCCGCTGCGGCGGCACCTCCGAGCAGATGTCGTTCCTAGCAGGGGCTTAATGCTGCTCTTTGAGGCCCCTGGACCATAGCCGTGACCTCT